GAAGTGAACTAACCCTGCAGCTTCCTCCCCCTCCGGCTCCAGGCCCAGGAATGGGAATTTCACAAAAAGGCAGAAGGATCTGTGTGAACACTTCCTGTCCCGCCCCAGCCCCCTTCCTGGTACTGACAGCCCAGCCCGGGGTTGCCACACCACTCACCTGTGATGCAACCTCCCCGGCAGAGGGCTGAGCAGGCCGGCCAGGGGCGGCCTATAAATGCAGGGCCCCCACGGCCCCGTCAAAGCCCTCTGTGAGACTCCTCGGCCTGGGTAAGCGAGCTGCCGGCCTCCCTCGCCTTCCTCTCGAACCGCCCCCTGGAAGCCCCGCTCGATGCCCCGCTCGCTCTAAAGCTCGCTCTAAAGCTTGCTTCGCATGGTCGGTCTCAGGTCGCGCTCTGCCGGAGCCGCCCGGTCTCAGGTGCTCTGTCTCTAGGCGTTCTCCAGATGTTCTAGAAACTGTTTCTCGCCTGCGTGGGGCAGGGGCATCTCCCAGTCCAGCTGCAGCTCTCACTGTCTGTCTGTCTGTCTGTCTGTCTGTCGGTTCTGTGTCCCCCTCCATTCCCACGAGCAGCCAGCAGGAGGTGTCAGGGGACCCTTCTCTTCCAAGCTCCTGACCTGTTGTGTCTCTGCTCAGACACAGCTTGAGCAGTCAGGGAGCCACGATGCCGTCGCTGATGGAATGCAGCCTGGAGACCATCATCAACATCTTCCACCAGTACTCCACGCGCCTGGAGCACCCCGACAGGCTCAACCAGAGGGAGTTCAAGCAGCTGGTGAAGAAGGAGCTGCCCAACTTCCTCAAGGTAGGGCTGGGCTGAGGACGGAGGATGGGCGCAGTGTGCAGCCCTGTGCTGTGCACCGGCCCCGTCCCCCACCCCTGGCCTGCACGAGTGCCGGTGCCCGGGGACCCACTGCCCGGCCCCAATGCGCAGATGCGCAGCAGAGACGGGAGCGGTAAAGAGCAGTTTGTGCCCGAAAGAGTCAGAGAGACTGCAGGGTGGGGTGGGGGGGCGGCGGAGCTGGGCCGGGAGGGGAACAGGGACGTGGACAAGGGCCGCTCCGAGATGGTGGCATTCGGGCTGAGGCCTGACCGTGCAGAAGCCGGGTGGACGGGGAGGGGGAGGAGGACGAGGGCTCCCTGGTAGGAAACGAACGGGAGCAGGAGGAAAAGCCCCGCCCAGCACGGGGACTCAGCGAAGGTGACAGTGTCCCGCCCGCCTGAAAACGACCGACGGGGCAGCTCTGGGGGAAGGAGGATTCCTTCACCGATCTTCCTGGTTTCTTTACAAATCTGGAGACTCTGGGGAGGGCAGAGGACCGGACGCAGGACGGTGGGATTCCCGGGCCCCAGTCCCAGTCCCTTCCATGGAGCGGGCGACCTGGGGTACGGGGCGCCCTCCTGGAGTCCCCCCCACCTTAGCGGGGTGGTGCATTGCAGCAGCAGGAGACTGGGGTGCTGACGCCCCAGCAAGCGGGACCCCGGGCACAGCCCGGAGGTAGTGCCGACAAGCCTTGCTCCGGGGAAGCCTGCGCCGCGCCCTCTGCCAGAAGCCGTGACGGGGAAGGGAAGCTGGGGCGTTGCCAGTGGCTGTCAGGAGCCACCGCGCCTCCTGCGAAAGCGCAGAACGGGTCTCGGGGAAGCACCGCGGGAGCAGGAGGGCCCAGGGAGGGAGCCAGGCCCCCCGGGTCTGGAGGGGACCCAGCCGCCGCGCCCCAGCCTGCAGCGCGTGTGGAGCCAGCAGGCCTGGATCTCAGCCCACCTCGAACCCCGCTGCTCACTTCACCACGCCCTCGGGGCCGAGGAGCCCCCCAGTTCTCTCCGTCTCTCTGCACGATCCCAATCCTCTTGCTTCCCTCGGGGGCTCCCGGGCTGGGGGTGCAGGTTGAGATGAGTGTCACTCGTCAGTAACCTGGAGAGGGGAGGGAGGGAGCGACGGGGACCGGAGGGGGGCGGGTTGAGGCCGGCTCTGCAGTCACCTCGCCAGCCTGCGGAACGAAGTGGGAAAAAGCAATTGGCACCTGCTTAGCACCTGCCCAGTTGTGGGCACTGGTCACGGGTCGTCCTTAATTTTCGAGTTGAGGCCCAGAAGCCAGGTCTCCCTGCGCCTTTGCCATCGGTCATTTGCTGGGCCGGGCGGCCCGGCCCTGGCCACGGCCGGCGCTGACCACCCCGTCTCCCAACCCACAGAAGCAGAAGAAGAATGACAAGGCCATAAACCACATCCTGGAGGACCTGGACACGAACGGGGACAAGGAGCTGAGCTTCGAGGAGTTCGCCATCCTGGTGGCCCGGCTGACCGAGGCGTCCCACGAGGAGATGCACAAGAACGCGCCTCCCGGGGAAGGCCACAGCCACGGGCCAGGCTTCGGCGAGAGCCACAGCTCCTGCCAGAACCAAAACCAAGGCCAAAGCGGCCATGGCCACAGCCACGGGGGCCACGGCCACAGCCACGAGGGCCACGGCCACAGCCACTAAACGGGAGGCCAGGCCCCCCAGGCCCCGCCCAACCAGGGCCCCAGGGCTGCGCGCCACACTGCCCCGGCTGCGGGGCTGGGGTTCGGGGGTGAAATAAAGTGTTCCTCCAAGCCAGCACTCTGCCTGCTTCTTCCGCTGCCTGCCCACCTGTCCGCCCCCCACCCCCGGGCTCTGGGGCCGACAGCCCTGCCCGTTACGGGGACTGCACCCCTTCACCCACAGCTGGCCACACAGCCATCCCTCTCCTAATGGAACCTTGTTCTTTGGGACGCACACTCAACAGTCCAAGCAGTGGGGACAAGGACAGATGGGCGCGCTTACCCACGAACAAAGTCTGCATCCCCAGGGGCAGCGGAGTCTCTTAGACGAGGCGTCCCAGGGCGGGTGGGGCACGCGCGAAGGTCAGGGAGTCCGGCCCACGCCACCGGCCCTGTGAGGAGGTTGGACTCAGGGTCCAGGGAGCCTTTCGGGCCTGCAGATTCTGGTTCTAAGCCTCGAGGGCAAGCTGAGCTCCCTGAGGTGACTGAGGTTGCTCGGTCCCCGTCAGTAGCTGGGGACAGGCCAGCCGGGCCTCTTGCCCCTGTCTGCCCAGGCTCCCAGCTCCCCACCTGGAGCAGCCTCCACAGGCCAAGGCTCATCCCTGCCCGAGATCTTCGCCCCCGGAAGCCCCTTCCGCAGGTCACCCCGAGGCTGGGGTGAGCCTCCCAAAGACCAGGGTCCAAACCAGGGGCATCGGCCCTGCCTTGTCCTTCGAACAAGGAGGAAACTGATGGAATTAGGGTTTGGGGGCGCTGGAGAGAGATCGACAGGCGTCCACGCCCACGTTACAAACTAGGAAAGCGAGGCACAGGGTGGGGGAGGGGCCATCCGAACCCCACTGGCGGAGCTGGCCCAGACAGAGACAGGCTGTGCCTCCCAGCCCTCCCCGGTGCCAGCAGCCAGGCGGGCGGGGGGCCTCTGCTGGGGGTGCAGAGAGAGACGGGCTCCCACCTGAGGGCTGAGGGTGTTTCTGGAGCTGGCTGCAGAGTTCAGAGGCCTGCAGTTCCCTCCCGGCCTAACTTGGGGACTTGAAAGCTAGAGACACTCACGGTCTGACAGCACGGCCCCCCCACCCTCGTGTCCCGGAGGGGTCTCCCTTTCCGACTTCAGCTTGGTAGGGGAACGAGAACCAGCTGGGAGAGGGGAGCCCTGGGTCCTGTCCGCGGCCTTGGCAGAGCAGGGCGGGGCAGGGGAGGAGAGGGCGGGGTGGGGCAGGGTCAGGTCAGGGGCAGGGCTGAGTGAGGAGGGCAGGGTGGGTGAGACAGGGGGAGGGGAGGGTAAGGCAGGGATGGGAGAGAAGGGGAGGGGAGGCTCCCCCACCCCTCTGCCCGCCATGACTTATAAAGATGTGCCATAAACATGCTCGTGACTCTGCCCCGCACTTGACCGTGAGCTCCGTGAGGGCAAGTCCATGGCACCTCCGCTTAGTCCCAGCGCTAGAGCAGTGGCCGGTGCGTGGTGGGTTCCCAACGCCGGCCGTGCAGATGTCCTCAGACCCCCACGTGCCCCGTGCTCCCCTCTCGGGGGACGGTGTGGAGAGGGGGGCGTTAAATCCGGCAGGTGGAAGGCTTCTGGGTATCGACATGGAACCTCAAACTGGAAGGCGGGGGCGGCAGGCAGCGTCCGAAGCCCCTCCCGGCTGTTTAGCTCCGCTGGCCCCTACCTGTTGCTCACGAGAAGCTTCCACTTGAAGGAAGGGATTTGTCTTGAGGGAAAGCTTGAAAACTGTTGGTTTGAGCCGCCCTGCCCCGCCCCATGCTTGGTGCTTCTCCCCAGCATTTCTGCCAAGGACCTGGCGGCCCGCCCGCACCCCTCCACCCCTCCAGGACAGGGGGCCTCGCTGTGGCTCAAGAGCGTGTCGTGCCCAGAGCCCCAGTCGGTCTCCTCGTGCCAGCCGGGCCCTCCTGCTGGTCCTCTCCACATCCGCACACCACGGGACAGCTCTCCCCATCCCTCCCCGCCGCCCCCCCACCCACACCTTGAGAACGTTTCTCTAAGCGGCCTTCAGGCTGTCTCTGGCCTCGGCACCAGGAGTGTCCTCCCCTCCCTGGGGTCCCTGGGTCACCACTTCCACGACGACCTCCCTGACCACCCGCCTCCCTCTGCCAGGCCCACAGAGCTCTCTGGTGCGTCTGCCGACTGGCCACG